AAAGCAGCCTTGAGACCCTGTACTGAACACACCTGAGCTCTTGAATTTCTCCAACCTCCCCATCCTGGAAGAGGACACTGGCTTTACCTTGCAGAGTTATCATTAGAGGGTTTGATATTATATATTTTTCCAAAGCAAAGTAGCAAATCCAAATGACCAGCTGGAGAGACAGAGATGCTAACCCCAATGCACTTGGCATCCCCCAATTTTCCAGCAAGTGAGGCTTCTGAAGCTTGGTTCTCAGCCTGATGCAGAGCAGTGTGTTACCCAACATCTTTATGAGCTCCTTGGACTCACCACACTGTGAGCCTGGGACCCACGGTGCCCGGGATTCAGCACACCAGGGTCCCCAGCCCCCAGTGGAGCCCCCTGACTGCCTAGGATGTCCACTGTGCGTCAGGGAGATGCTCAGGGCTTTGTAGCCCTGCTTATCCTCCCGCATACCAGACTGGCAGCCCCTTGGAGGTCCTGGGTCTTCAGGGCACAGGGCTCTATTGGGCTGGATGGGGTGTGCAGCTTCGTTCCCGATTCCCTCCAGCTCATCCTACCCCATGGTCTGGGGACAGAACTCTGCACTACTCTTCTGGACCAGGGATGGAGGTGCCCAGACTGCATCACACCAGCCCTACCTGGTCTCCTGTGCAGGCACCTGGGTTGTAAAAGGCCCGACAGCTCTGCTGTCCCAGCACCTCTCTGGACTGGATGGAGCTGGAGCTTCTGACCAATGACAAGGCAATGCTTTTCCAGGGCCAGGAGCTTTGAGGTGTCTGTGTGGGTGGTGGGGTGGGGGTGAGTCCCACGGATTCTCGTTTGGATTTTGCTTGGACCCTGTTGCACTCACAGTCTCTCGAGAACTGAAAGCAATGTTTCTGTCAGCCCTGATCTTAGCCTCCCAATGCAGGTGAGAGCTGCTAATACAAGGCAAATGTTCATTATATAGGTGATGGAGTCCCACCGAGTAACACTTGGGAAATGGGAAAAGGACAAAGATTATTAAAGAACTTTTGACCTGAGCACACCCATTGTTTCCATTTTTCTGTACTTTCCCCTTCTATTTTCTTTATATCATTTCACATCACAACCCAAGTATTTTCCATACTAATGTAGAGTGTGGAACCTTCTTAACAGTGTAAAACTTACTATTATTCAACTAATCATTACAAATTCAATTGTGTTCCCTCCCCACCCCCCAGGTTGGGGTTCTAACCCGCATGCTGTGACCTTATTTGGAGGTAAGATCTATATAGAGATATCACATTAAAAATGATGCCATCAGGGTGACCCTATTTCGACGCTCATATCCTTATAAAAAGGGGGAAATTCGGACACAGAGACAAACACTCACAGGGAAGACGACGTGGAGAGAGGGAGGGAGAACACAGCTTCTACAGGCCAAGGAGAGAGGCAGGAATAGGGTCTCCTTGCAGTCTCAGAGGAAACCAACCCTGCTGACACTGTGATCTCCGGCATCTGGGCTTCAGGGCTGAGAGACAGTGGATTTGTGTTGCTTCAGGCAACCCAGTCTGTGGTCCTTTGCTACAGCAGTCCTAGCAGACTAACTTTTCATGTGCTTCTGCTGTTATAAATTAGTTTCTTTTCTCCTTTTTCTCATTTGACTGTGCCATGTCTTCGTTGTGACAGGCGGGATCTAGTTCCCTGACCAGGGATCGAACTTGGGCCCCCTGTGTTAGGAGCATGGAGTCTTAACCACTGGATCACCAGGGAAGTCACTGATGTTATAAATAACCTATGTTGTTGCTGTTTAGTCTCCAAAGTTGTGCCTGACTCTGCGACCCCATGGTTTATAGCCCGCCAGGCTCCTCTGTCCATGGAATTCTCCAGGCAAGAATACTGGAGTAGGTTGCCATTCCCTTCTCCAAGGGACTTTCCTGACCCAAGGATCAAACCTGAGTCTTCTGCATTGGCATAAATAACCCATTATTAGATATACTCAGTATCTTGTAATAACTATAGTGGAAAAGGATCTGAAGAAGAACATATATACCTGTACAACTGAATCTCTTTGCTCTACTTTTGAAACTAATCCATTGTAAATTAATTCTACTTCAATTCAAAAACTAATCTACATGAGCATCTTCACCCAAAACTAATCTAGGCAAGCATCTTCACCCGTGTGTGAGGAAGAGAAGGTGCTTCCACCCCCTGAGAGGACTCAGCTCCGTGCGCCCCCCAACCCTGCAGCCACTGCCCACCCTGTTTCAGGAGGGTCCCGCTGTGTGTGTGCCCACCCCACCCCCCCCACACAGTACTTCTCCAGGGCGCCATGCTCCCACTGGCCCCTCTTCACGGGCTTCACCCTCTGCGCCCCCGCTCCCAGCCCAGCTCACGGAGATGCTGATAGGTCTCCGCTGAGCCCAGGTGCGGCCGGCTGTGGTGGGGGCGTCTCAGGGCAGTGGCCGCGCTGAGAGGCTGGTGGGGACAGTTTGGGTTCCAGCTGGTCTTTCCCTCGGACCCCTGAGCCCTCGAGGTGCGCCTGGATGGGAAGCTGGTGGTTCCGGCCCCAGCTCTGGCCGCGGTGGAGGGATGCAGGGCTGAGGGCCGTGAGGTGGGAGACTCGGCAGAGGGGGGCAGCCGGGAGGAGCGAGCGGAGGACACACGACAGACGCAAAGCACGGCCTGAGGGCCACAGCCCTCCCAGCGACAAGTCTTGGTTTACAGGCAAGAGCTAAGTTAACAGCCTGTTTGTGCCAGCAAAGTGGAATTCTCGAGCACCAGCAAAATGCTAAAAATCCGCTGCTTCAAATTTTGCAGTGTCAGTTTTTGAAATCAAAACGTCCGTGTTCTACAAATAATAAGAGTAAATGGGGCTTGCTGGGCCGCCAAGTTTCCTCTTAAAAAAAAAAAGTTTCATTGAACAGTGGGAATCTGAGCCTCTTCCAGATAGAGGAAGGCTCATGGAGGGCCCCGGGTCTAGCTGGGCTCTGGAGGCCTAGAGCCAGGCCTGGGATTGAGCGTGCCTGGCTGAGAACTGTGTGTGTGTGAGGGTGTGCCAGAGTGCGTCAGAGTGTGTGCATGAAAGTATGTGAGAGTGAGAATGTGTGTTTGTGTGTGATTGTATGTGTGAGTGTGCATATGTGTGTGTGAAAGTGTATGTGAGTGTGTGTGTGAATGTATGTGTGAGTTGTGTGACTGAGTGTATTGTGAGTGTGTGTATGTGTGTGTGTGAAAGTGGGAGTGTGTATGTGTGCGAGTGTATGGGTGTGTGTGTTTATATGTGAATGTATGAGTTGTATGTGTGTGTGACTGTGTGTGTGACTGTGTGTGTGTTTATGTGTGACTGTGTGTGTGAGTGTATGTGTGAGTGTGTGTTTATGCGTGAGTGTATGAGGTGTATGTATGTTTGCATGTGTGTGAATGTGTGTGACAGTGTGAGTTTCTTGTGTGTGTGTATGTATGAGTATGTGTGACTCTGTGTGTGTGTGAGTGTCTGTGTGTCTGTGTGTTAGTGTGTGTTTGAGCGTATGTGTGTGACAGTGTGTGAGACTCTGTGTGTGTGTGTGTGAGAGTGTGAGTGTTTTGTGTGTGTATGTATGAGTGTGTGTGACTCTGTGTGTGTGAGTGTCTGTGTGTCTGTGTGTGTGTGTGTGAGCGCATGTGTGTCTGACAGTGTGTGAGACTGTGGGTGTGTGTGAGAGTGTGAGTGTTTTGTGTGTGTATGTATGACTATGTGTGACTCTGTGTGTGTGTGACTGTGTGTGTGTGGTTATGAGTGTCTGTGTGTCTGTGTGTCTGTGTGTGTTAGTGTTTGAGCACATGTGTGTCTGACAGTGTGTGAGACTGTGTGTCTGTGTGTGTGTGTGTGAGAGTGTGAGTGTGTGCCGGGCCTCTGCCCAGTGGGGGCCCGGGTCTCGGGACAGGAGGGCTCCCTCGGGGCCCCTGCGGCCGCCTGGTGGCTCCGGGCCGTCTGCCGTGAGAGGAGGTGGCCTGGCTGGCTCCACGGGCGTGCCGGACCAAGCCCTCCGGTCCCCGCATGAGCTCCCGGCTGCAGGAAAGTGGAGCGAGGCGGGGAGAGTGGATGCCTCTGGTCTGGTAACCTGTGCACTCTGGACCTACAGCAACAAGCCCCTCTGTGCCCTGAGGCCTCAGGGGGCTTGGTCGTGACGCCCCGGCCCCCGGGGGATGCGGGCAGTGACCCCACCTTGTCAGCATTCAGTTTTCCAGGTGTGGGGCATGAGTTTGTGCGCACACGTGTGTATGAGTACAAGCATGCGTGAATATCTGCCTAAGCCTGTGAGTGTGTGCATGTGAGCATAAATGTGACCTGTATGCTTACAGATGTGTGTGGGTGTGTTCATGCACTAGAGTGTGTGAGCCTGAGCATTTGGGTGTGCATGAACCTGTGTGTGTCCGTGTAAGTGATGTTTGAGTTTGAACAGATGAGTCCATGCGACTGTACACACGTGTGAATGTGTGTGAGTGTGACCCACTTCCTCCCACCTCCCTTCCACAAGAAGGAAAAACATTCCTGACTCGATTCTCGAGCATTTCTCAAGAGTTCAGACGAGGCTAGAAATGATCACCCTTGGCTTTGAAGGCAGAGAGCTCTGACCTTTCTGGGCGAGGATGCAGGAAGGGGGATGCCTGGGGCTCAGGCTGAGGTTAGCCCGGGCCTGGCGGGAACAATGAGGTGGCCGTTGAATGCTTCCTCTGGTGGCCGGGAATCCAGGGGGACAGGATGCTCTCAGGAGTGCATAGTTCTCACAGGGAAATGAAACTAACAACTTCCCTGAAATATCTCATCAGTATTGCTGCTGTTGCATCATTGCAAAGCTGGCGAGGGATTCAGGTTAGTTATTTAACAGGATGTGTGAAGACACACCAGCCAATGTGCTGAAGAGCAGGACTTTTACACTGTTCTGTGACCCCCGCCAGGAGTGTGCCTGGCAACCCTCCCTCCACCCCCAGGACGCAATGATGCAGAATATTCAGGAGGGTGAGGCAGAGGGGATGCGGTAATCAGCATCTTTAATGAAAGATGGTCATCCACATTCATCCACAGCTTCTTCAGGGCCGGGCGCCCAGTGCTTGGGCTGCGTGGTCTTCTGCCTTATGTCGGTCCCCATGGCAACCCCCTGCTTGATAAGCTGCTGGGGTGCTCTGGGACCAGTGATCAGGAGGTCGGGAGTGCTGGACCTGCTCCTGCCCTGTACAGACCTCAGGCAGGTCCTGCGTCTTGGGAGACCCCTCTTTCTCATCCTGACCTGGGTGGGACTTAGCCCTCTCCTCTTTGTTGATGCCTGTTGTCACCAGTAGCTTCTGGGACCTCGGAATCCAGTAGCAGGCAGTTTACTGCCTGGTGAGCTGGTAGCTTTGCAAATATTCAAGCACCAACGTTTGTTTTCTCTTAAAGGACAGTGGGAATCTGCAGGCTTCAGAGAGTGGGCTAGCTGAGCCTCGCAGCACGATCTCAGCTCAGACCCCGGTTGAAGGTCAGACTTGCTGTCAAAGCCTCTGTCACTTGATCTTGGAGGAAAAGGAGCTGGTGGAAAGCTGGGTGGATGCACTGAGGGTCTGGTTGCGTGTCTGGCTCCAATTTCCCCATTTCCCCGAGGCCATGTTGGTGGGAATTTTTTTCAATCCTAAGTTTAGTTATAGTACCAGTTCAATCTGGTCATTTGCCAAAAGCACGTGTTCAAGGCAAAAGACCCGAGTGAGCTGTTTTGTTGAAATCATTTTCTGAACCTGTTAGTTTTCCCCCATGTACCCATCCAGAAAACATGTGACCTATTTTCAATCCAGAGCTCCTCTTAGGTGATTCCTGCCATCCATTACAGGGGGATTTAATCTCCTGGGAAGCATATCTGGAAGCACACCTCAAAGTATGTATTTAATTTTTGAGTCCGAGAATTCAAGAATTCTTGATCAGAGAAAGAATTAAAATTAGTGCTGAATTTAAACACAGGAATATGCAAGAACATAGCCAATGACATTTGCGAATACAAAGACATTTTCTTTTTCCTGCAAGCAGGTGATGGGGGAAAAAAAACTTCAGACGTTAGGTCTGATTTTAAAATGTTATTCCGAAAATATTTGTTCTTGACTATTAACGAGGGTGTAAGCATCAGTTTGGGGCTACTTCCTTCCAGGAATGTATTCTTTTGGCCAGATCCTCACTTGGAATGCTTTGAAGAAGCATTGCTATTTGAGGAAGTGTTCACTGGTTCCTCAAAACTGTTAAAACTTATTCATTTTACAGATAAGGAAACTGAAGTGTATCAAAGGTATTGACTCCCACACAATTGCTAGTTCAGGACAGAAATGAGACCAGACTCCAGAAACCCCACTCCAACATTGGTAGGATTTTCTCTGCACCCTGCTGTCTGCCATGACTGATATCCCAGCATAGATGGTATATTCTGCTTCTTAGGAATGGTAATTGCCTCACGTCATGTCTTAATAAAACCTCCAGCTTCGAGGCCAAGCAAAAGTTTTGAATTTGCAATTCTAAACTTCATTCCAACTCAAGGAAAATTAGGATTTCTTTATAAGGGATCAGACTTTAAAATACATCTAATTTGATTGAAGGCATAGCTTTCTCTGATCAACTCAGGGAACATACTTATTGTTACCATGCAAAGTCAGCTTAGCCCTGCTGTAGCTTTTGCTGTGAGAACTTAGAAAAGGGAATCTTGGTTTTTATCCATCTTAGTCAGTCGATGTGGGGTTGATTTTGTGGTCATTAAACCAATTTACATGCAGTTATACTCATTGCAGGAAAAGGCAAACAGGCTGATGAACCTTTATTTTTATTTTGTACTTTCGCTCTCCACTATAAAGCAGCAATTTAAATAATAGAACAAATAAGTGGAAGATATGGAAATTTAGCTGTAGAGTTGGCTCAAAAGAATAGACCCTTTCATGTTCTCTCCAGAGCTCTCTATTCATGTATCATGATGCCAAGTTTTGGCAAAAAAAAAGTCAAGTTTGGATTAAGTTACAGCCAAGTATGTTGCCTTTGCCCATTCAATTTATTCTTGGCAAATGTCAGAGAGTATTTATAACAAAGTCCCATTTTGAACATTCTATTGCCTCAATGGAGTTCTAATAACACTGGGTATTTATTTAATGTCTAACTCTAGGAGTTCAAAGCACTTTACAGACATTCCTTGACTGATCTTAGCATCCCTGCAAGATTTTACAGATTGGGGAAGTCAGCTGAAGCACAGAAACTCTCCTGAGATCACCCAGGAAGACCACGGATCCTCCAAATTAATCACACACCTTCTGACTTGTAGAAGTTTCTCTTCCTCAGATGGTGATGCATTCCCAACCTCTTATCTAAATGTTGGTGAATAGACAGTATTTGTTTATTTCTTCATGGAGATCTTTAATTAGGGAAAGTAGAAACCCCACAGACACTTCTGTTTGTGTGTCATAGCATTAATTGGGCAAAGTATCTTTTAAACACTTTGATTCTTTAGCAATGGAGTTGGCGTTTGGTAGCTAGAGAACAGACAGTTGGGAGGCATCCCAATTGGGCAAAGAAATGGTAGTGATTTTTCCACGGTCTCCAGAGTGATTCACACTTGTGTGGGGAGTGTGCAGGAGGGTGGGCGGATGGTTGGTAGGCTGCAAGTGTGCTCAGTCACATTTGACTCCTTGTGACCCCGTGGGCTATAGCCTGCCACGCTCCTCTGTCCATGGAGATCTCCAGGCAAGAAGACTGGAGTGGGTTGCCGTTTCCTTCTCCAGGGTATCTTCCTGACCCAGGGATCGAACCCACATCTCCTTCTTGGCAGGCAGATTCTCTGTTGTCTAAGCCACCTAGGAAGATTGGATGGCTGGTAGAGAAACCAGAAAAAGGAGTTGTTCAGATAAATCCATGTGGCATCTTCACCTATCTGAAGGGCACCTGAATATTATTATTAATACCACCCAGTGCTTTGCTATTATTGGGCATTGGCTATAAGGTGGTTATTTAGCATTTTCTCAGAATCTTTTACGTTTGCCGACTTGTACTTCTTTTAAAATTTATATTGTGCCCGAGATGGAGAATGTACCAGGTGGAGCTTATTGAAGAGATTAAAAAAAAAGAGCCAAGTTCGGAGTTTGAGCTCTGGACAGCCCTGTGTGCAGGCAGGAGGTTTTCCTGTGTCTTACGTGCAACAATAACAAGCAGTGGTTATTTTGCCAAATGCTTCTCTGAAGCACCACGTGGAAAGGCCACTTCAAAGAATTTTCCTGATCACGAGGAAGCCAGTGTCTTTCCACCAGCCCTGGCACAGAGCTGGGCGGCATGGGTGTGGGCTCTTGTCTCTACAAACTAGTTATCTTATAACCAACAAATGGCCCAGGGACCCACTCTAACGCTGTGTGTTGGGGCCAAGATTTAAGCTCACGCTAGCATTTCCTGTGTTCTTCCTATTCAATCGTTTGAAGAACCCAGTGCTGGAACATAACGCAACTGGGGCCACTTACGTGCTTTGGGTTAAAGGCATAAAAGATGTATTAAGATGCAGACTTGAGCTGGGCTGAGTTTGATCTGTTGGAACCACGTGGCAGCTGTATGACTGGAAACAAGTCACTTGGCATCTGTGCTGTGTGCCTTAGTTTCATTCTCTGTAAAAGGGGACTAAAAATAACAGCACCAGCTTCATGAAGATGAAATAGATTGATGTATATTGGATGCTTAAGACAGTTCTCAGCACATAATTAGTGTCTTATTAGTTTATGTGTGTACTGTCATGTCCAACTCTTGGTGACCCCATGGACTGTAACCCACCAGGTTCCTATCCATCGAATTCTCCAGGCAAGAATACTGGAGCGGGTTGCCATTTCCTTCTTTGGGGAATCTTCCCAACCTAGGAACTGAACCTGAGCTTCTTGCCCGCCCTGCATTAAAGTAGGTGGATTATGTACCACCTGGGAAGCCCTCATTAGTTTACCTGCTATTTAAAAAAAAAATCATTACCCTTTTTTAATAAAAAAATATTTATTTTTTAATTTAGCTTACTAGCTATTATTATTATTCCTATGAACATCATGGAGGTAAGATTCACTTCTCTCCCTCTCTCCCTGCAAGTGATGGCAAGGATTAATCAATTAAGACAAAAATATTCAGTTGCTGGAAGTAAATGTCACCAGCACTGAAAGCCGAGGCTGCAGGCTCCATGGCTGAGAACTGAGGACTTTCTGCTGCATGGGATGTAGCTGAGACAAGATGGACACAGAACACTCATCTTTCCCCAGAAATCAGCGAGGGTCATGGGGATTGGTGGGGTTGCTTTGGGGAACCTCACTGGGCTGCGGGAGGCAGGGCTCAAGGTGAGAGATGTCACTTGGCCTTCCTCTGCCCCTGCCCACAATGACCCTCAGGCAGGTCTAATGCACTGAGGAGGAACTCATCTCTAAGCAGCTCCTCCGAACCTCAGCAGGATTTCACTGAGCACGTTTGAAACCCACAGTCCGTTCAAGGTGGCAAGAAGCCTTGATGCCACGTGGTAGGAGAGGAACCAGCCAATGCCACCGTGGTGCTGGAGTGGCGGCCGGTGGGACGCACAGCTAGATGGGACCAACTGGGTATTGGTGTGAGGGTTTGCCAATAAGAGAAGACATCAAGAGCTGACCAAGGCCACACTCACAGCTGTGCCCCTGAGACTGGCACTGTCTGTATAAACGCGCAGGGACCTGCCCTCCAGCTGCAGGTCTGGGGGTTGTGGGGAGAGAGGGTAAGCATGCCTGGACAGGAGTAGGCCAGAGATCTGTTTTCAGCCACAAAACGTCACGTCCTGTGACGTCTCAGACCAGCACAGTCACCATGAGAATATTCTAAGACACAGGAGGAGGAGACAAACTCATGCTGCAATCAACAGGGAGAAAACAGTTTATAAAAATTTATTACAGGAGACAGAAGGGACGTTTAGACGTCATCTTCTTTCCCCCTTTTACAGACTCTGCACAGTAAGATATGAACCAGGAGATGCTAAGACAGAAATGGAAAAGGAAGAAATGGCTAGAGGAAAATAAAGGACAACAGAATTGAAAATGGGATGAGGAAAGATTAAAGTCAATTGGAATTAAAAAAATGGAAACAGGCACATTTTAGAATCTCTTTTAGGATGAAGTACGGAAAGTGAAGAGATAAGGATATTAGAAAA